AAAAAAAAAAAAATAGCCAGGTGTGTGGCAGGTGCCTGTAATCCCAGCTATTTGGGAGGCAGAGACAAGAGGATCACTTGAGCCTAAGAGTTTGAGGTAGCTGTGAGCTATGAGGCCACAGGACTCTACCAAGGGTGACAAACTAAGACTTTGTCTCAAAAAATAAAAATAAATAATAGAAAGCTACCACAAAAGGACAAGCAAGAGATAATTAGCTTAATTTTCTTAAGTGCCTACAGTGTGCCAGGAACTACGTACTTCATATACTAAGGATACTATCTCATTAAATCCTTAAAACAATCCTACGAAGTTGGTATAATCATAGTTTTATAATGCAGAAACTGAGGCTCGAAGACATAAAACCAGGAAAGAAACATAAAATGTTTCTACAATACCATACCACTGAGGGTAGAATGGATTTGAAAGATATCCACGTGGTAAAATCAAAAGGTGTTTTATGATTATCTGGAGTGGAAGACAATGAGAAAAAAGACAGGCAGACAAATATATGCATGCCTACAAGTTAGAAACAACTTGCAGATTTCTGCAAAACACACTTTTTACAGTATTTAGCCCTATGCCTAGTAGGTAAGATGTTTCTATTCACCTGAATTTCTTCTTTCATTAAATATGAGAGGCCCACTTCCTCTTCTCCCTCTCCTAATTCTGAGCCTGCTTCATCTTCATCCTCCTCCTCCTCCTCCTCCTCTTCACATCCTTCAGGTGGACCAGCTTCATCTTCTTCTTCCTCTTCCTCATCTTCATCTCCATCTATAAAAATATTTTTAAATGGCTGGGTAAATGTTTTTTGCTAGTTATGTTGATCCTTTTTACCCTGCCCAATCACTTCAAACTTCTGCTAGTCAGAAGTCAATGGTTGGAAGTATCTCAGGGTGATTTTTTTTTTTAATTTCTATTTTACAACACTCAAATGTATTGCTTGTGAAGTATGATTTCCTAAATACTAGTATTTATCCAATGTATAGATTGTCATCAAAACATTACTTTAGGCTCAGTGCCTGTGGCTCAAGTGGCTAGGGCCCCAGCCACATGCACCTAAGGTGGCAGGTTCGAATCCAGCCCGGGCCTGCCAAACAATGATGGCTGCAATCAAAAAAAAAAGAAAAAAATAGCCAGGTGTTGTGGCGGGCACCTGTGGTCCCAGCTACTTGGGAGGTGGAGGCAGGAGACTCGCTTGAGCCCAAGAGTTGGAGGTTGCTGTGAGCTGTGATGCCATAGCACTCTACCCAGGGCAACAGCTTGAGGCTCTGTCTCAAAAAAAAAAAACAAAAAAACATTACTTTATAGGCACTTCAAAATCTGTTTGCCTATTGTGCCATCATTTTACAATATTGTTTGCCCACCAAATTTCTTTTAACAGTAAAAAATTTTTCACCCACTAATAACAAGTGGTGTCCCATTACTAACAACTATTGTAAAAAAAAAAAAAAAAGAAAGAAAGAAAGAAAGAAAGAAAAGAAAAGAAAATGAAAAAAACTCTGGCAACTCTCAACCATCTATTAGTCATCCATTTATCTAAAAATGTTTATTAACTAATTCTAGAATATTTTTCAGCACCTTAAAAAGAAACCCCACAAAATGTCTTTTTTTTTTTTTTGGAGACAGAGCCTCAAGCTATCCCTCCTGGGTAGAGTGCCATGGCATCACGCTCACAGCAACCTCCAACTCCTGGGCTCAAGCGAGTCTCCTGCCTCAAGCGAGTCTCCTGCCTTAGCCTCCCAAGTAGCTGGGACTACAGGTGCCCGCCACAATGCCCGGCTATTTTTTGGTTGCAGCCATCATTGTTGTTTGCCGGGCCTGGGCTGGGGATTCAAACCCGCCACCTTAGGTGTATGTGGCTGGCGCCTTAGCCACTTGAGCCACAGGCGCTGAGCCCCCACAAAATGTCTTAACACAAAAACTAAGAAAATGCTGTGAAGGCTATGTTAACCAGTTTGATGAAAATATTTCAAATGGTATATAAACCAGCACATTGTACCCCATGATTGCATTAATGTACGTAGCTATGATTTAATAAAAATAAATAAAAATTAAAAAAAAATTTTAAATAACCCACCATTAGCAGTTGCTCCCACTCTCTTCTCCTCTTAGCCACTGGCAAACAATAATCTAATTTCTGTGTCTATGTATTTGCCTATTCTAGACTTTTCTTACAAATGAAATTGAACAATATGCGGCCTTCTGTGTCAGGCTTCTCTCACTGAGTTTGGTACAATACTTTAATTTGTTATTGAGGAAGAAGAGGCTAGAGAAGGAAAGAGAGGCCAGATAATGAAGGGTCTTGTAATGTCTTAGGAGCAACAGGGAAATATGAAAGGGTTTCAAGACTAGTAATATGGTCACATCTATAAAAAACTGCCCACACAGCACCAAAGAGAATATGGTGATGCTGTAATGAACTTTTTTTTTTTTTTTTTTGGGTGAGACAGAGTCTCAAGCTGTTTGCCCTGGGTAGAGTGCCATACCATCACAGTTCACCTCAAACTCTTGGGCTTAAGTAATTCTCTTGCCTCAGCCTCCCAAGTAGCTGGGACTACAGGCACCAGCCACAACACCCAGCTATTTTTTGGCTGCAGTTGTCATTGTTGCTCAGCAGACCTGGGATGAGTTTGAACCTGCTACCCTGGGTGTATGTGGCTGGTGCCCTTGCTGACTGAGCTACATTTTTAATGCTCATTCATATAGCAGATATCAATACTTCATCTTTGTGGCAGAATACTATTACACAGAAATTATAAATTACAGCTGGGCGTTGTGGCAGGCACCTTTAGTCCCACCTACTTGGGCAGATGAGGCAAGAGAATAGCCTAAGCCCAGGAGCTGGAGGTTGCTGTGAGCTATGTGATGACACAGCACTCTACCAAGGGCCATAAAGTGAAACTCTATCTCTACCAAAATAAAAAAATAAAAGAAATTATAAATTACTTTATTTCTTAATCTATTCATCAGTTGCTAGACATAGACACTTGAGTTGTTTCTACTTTGGGGCTACTATGAATAGTTCTTTTTAAAAAAAAGCATTATTTAGGAAGTTGCCACTTTTACTGGGTGGTGATTATACAAGATTATATAGATGTAAAATTTCACAGAACGTCATGTTACAATAGTCATTAAGTTCCTTGAAACTATCAGAAATCTGAAACAAGAAATATAAGCTAGAGCTGTGAGATTTAAATTTTTCTTATCTTACTAATACCTACTTGTGGTTTTTCTCACATGTAAATCTCTAGGCGCAATATAATTTACACAGATAAGTGGAGGCTATAATTATGAGACATTTGTGAGCATTAAGAATGATTACCCTCATCATCCTCCTCTTCAGAGTCTGGTGCTTCGTTATCCTCCTGATCAAATCCGTCTAAGTACGTGATTTGCTGCAGCAGTTCAAAAATACTTTCTCTGTAATCTTCCAGGTTTGTGATCTCACAGTTAAACAAGTCAAGACTTTTCAAATTTTTAAGATTTTGCTGGAAAAGTAAAGTTAATATTTACAGTCAAGATTCAAAATATCACCTTATTTCTTTTTAATTCATGATCCAAAAAATATATATTTTAAATAGAGAGTAATTTTTAGATTTTAAGAATTTCAGGATTATTATATCCAATACAATCACCTCTCTCAGTTAACCCCTGGCTTTTGTGGAACTCTTTTTCTGGAATGGCCATCAGAGCAGTTGTTGCTCTGAAGAGTAGACTAAGCACTGGCATCAGTGCACAGCTTCCCAAGGGGAGCACTTCAAAGGTGACTGTAGTGATATTTAGCAGTAGGTATTTGGCACTTTTTCTAGGATGAGTTTGTGAACTTAATTGTCCTGATAATTAGGCAACAACAATATTGGAGCCAACTTAAATCCACAGACAAGCTTCTTTTCAACAATTTTGATCTCCTCTCAATCTTTTAAAAATCAGAGAGGGCGGCGCCTGTGGCTCAAAGGAGTAGGGCACCGGCCCCATATGCCGGAGGTGGTAGGTTCAAAGGTTCCAACCCAGCCCCAGCCAAAAACTGCAAGAAAAAAAAAATCAGAGCAACAATTTTCAGAGTTTCACTTCTTCCTTTTCTTCCCTCATACCCACAAATAATGGGGCAAGTAATAAAATAACTCAAAAAATAATCAAGAAGGAGAAGTTAAGAAAATGCCAGAAATTTAAAAACCAGACAGTCGACTCCTGAAGTTGATGATAAGAATACATTTCTCACTGATTTAAAAAGTCATCTAAATATTTTACTCTAGCTGGGTGTTGTAGGGTGCTCCTGTAGTCCCAGCTATTTGGGAGGCTGAGGCAAGAGGATCACTTGAGCCTAAGAGTTTGAGGTTGCTGTGAGCTAAGACACGACAGCACTCTACCAAGGGTGACCAAGTGAGACACTCTCTCAAAAAAAAATTTTTTTTTACTCTAAAGGAAAAGAAAATAGTAATGGTCTAGATTGCAATATAAAAATTTCACAAGTTTCAAGAGTCAAACAGAAGTTTAAGACACAGACAAATGTAATCCCTGTACTTTGGGAGGCAAGGAGGATGAGGTGAAAGGAAAAATTGCTTGAGGCCAGGAGTTCAAGACTAGCCTGAGTAAGACCCCCATCTCTACAGAAAAACAGAAAAAATTAGCCAGGCAAGTTGGTACATGGCTGAAGTCACAGCTACTCAGGAGGCTGAGGCAGGAGGATTACTTAAGCCCAGGAGTTTGAAGGTACAGCGAGCTATGATGATACCACTGTACTCTACCCCAGGCTATACAGCAAAACCCTGTCTTAAAAGAAAAAAAAAGATAAGATACAAACAAATCTCAGAAAATTTAACTCAAAAAAGCAAGTGCAGAAACAAAACCGTTCCACTTACCAGAGCTTCTACTGTACTGAGATCTTTAATTTTGTTTCCACTCAGATTGAGGTAGGTAAGATTTGGACATTTCTCTGCAAGAATTTCCAAGCCTCCAGAAATTATATTGTCACTAAGCTCCAACTATATATTGAACATGGGAAGAAAATAAAGAATAGTAAAGGCATCAGATCATAGATTTTAAAAGTATAACAATCTAAGGAAAAGAAACATCTGCCATTCTCTCTGGCTTCAAAATACTATCACTACAAATCATTAATTTCCAAATTCCCATCTCCATCTGCCAAATAATATATTAGACTCTTTATACTATTTATGATGGGTTCCCATCCCAGCGTTAGTTCCAGTTAAGTTAGTTCCAGTTAGTTCCATAAAATCCAACATCTGGATTTTATGATTCAGAGAAAAATATTTAGTAGATATTAAATCTAAATTCATGTCCTAAAGCAATTCTACCACTCAATTTAAATTTCTAAAAGCAATATTAGAGCTGATTCCAAGATCCTACATAATCCTTCTTTCTTACCTTTAGAAATTTAAAAACTCCTAATTAACTGACAGAATGGTCATTTCATTTGACCAAAAATTAGACATAATAGGCTTTGGCACTGAAATCATGATGCTCTCATGCTAATGTCAACTTACTTTTCGAAGTTTATTTAAACTGGGAAGTCGGGCAAGTGAACTCAGTTCCACATTAGCCATACTCAGAAACTCTAGTTCTTTGAAAGTATCGTTCAGGCCTTCAATTTCCCCATTGACACACAGGCAATTATCAAGAACTAACTCCGTAACCTGTAAGAGGGAAAATATTAATGATTCTTTAATTTGCAACCTGTTTAGCAATAGACCTGAATATTAAAACAACAAATCTCAGGGCCAGGCGCACTGACCCATGTCAATAATCCCAGCATTTTGGGAGGCCTAGGTGGGCAGGTAGCCTGAGCTCACATGAACCCCATCTCTAAAAAAAAAACAGCCAGGTGTTGTGGCAGGCACTTGTAGTCCCAGCTACTCAGGAGGCTGAAGAAAGAGAATCACTTGAGCCCAAGAATTAGAGGTTGCTGTGAGCTATGATGCCAAGGCACTCTACCAAGGGCAACAAAGTGAGACTCTGTCTCAAAAAAAAAAAAGAAAAAGAAAAAGAAAAAACAACCAATCTCAAGTTAGACTACCCATCAGTTTAAAAAAAAATAAACACCATCAACCCTCTTACACAGAGCTGCTTCATTTCCTCCTAAAACTGATACACAATCTAGAGTCAACACTATACAATCTTTTAAATTTACACTTGGACTAAGAAGTTTAATGCCTGCTTCAATCACTGAGGCATTAAAAACAAAACTTTGGGCTGGGTAGGAGCACACCTGTAATACTAGCACTTTGGGAGGCCGAAGCAGGAGGATTGCTGGAGGCCAGGAGTTTGAGGTTACAGTGAGCTATGATGGTATCGCTGCACTCTAGCTGGGATGACAGAGTCAGACTTTGACTCAAGAAAAATAACTACCATGAGGTCCATGTGAAACCTGTTTCTGACCCTGGTAAGGAACTTCAACATCAGACACACACACACACACACACACACATATACACATATACACACATATATATATATATATATATTTTTTTTTTTTTTTTTGAGACAGAATCTCATTATGTCACCCTCAGTAGAGTGCACCTGCCACAATGCCCGGCTATTTTATTGTTGATGTTTAGAAGGCCAGGGCTGGATTTGAACCCACCAGCCCCGATGTACATGGCTGGTCCCCTAACCACTTGAGCTATGGGGGCCAAGCCAACATCAGACATATATTGATGCAGAGAGGGAATATATGTGGGCTACTGGGAGAAGATTCAAGTAAGCTGTCCTAAAATTTAAGGAGGGAAAACTCTTGAGTCATACATTTTATGAAAAATAAAAAATAAAAGAGAAAACTGTTTAATCATTTTTTTTCAGTTCAAACCCACTAATCTTTGGTTAATTAGACAACTAAGGTAAGTGCTATCCTAACTCAATAAAACCTAAAACCTGTTACCCTTCATGAAGAAATGTTGGCTCGGCGCCTGTGGCTCAAGCAGCTAAGGCGCCAGCCACATACACCCAAGGTGGCGGTTCGAAACCCCAGCCCCGGCCGCCAAACAACAATGATGGCTGCAACCCAAAAATGGCCAGGCGTTGTGGCGGGCGCCTGTAGTCCCAGCTACTTGGGAGGCTGAGGCAGGAGACTCGCTTGAGCCCAGGAGTTGGAGGTTGCTGTGAGCTGTGATGCCATGGCACTCTACCCAGGGGGATAGCTTGAGGCTCCGTTTTAAAAAAAAAAAAAAAAAAAGAAAGAAAGAAATGTTATAAAGATCCTTCTGGAACAGCCCAGCTTTAGGGTGATGTTTGTTCTAACATCAAGGTCAAACAATATCACCCAGAACAATACATCCTTGACAAAATGTTATTTCTCCCTGTCACTCCAGTAGCGTTTCTGCAGACTTTTTCCCATTCTTAGAGGAAAGTCAGCTAGATTCCCTGTTGAGTCAAAGTTGTAGTCACAATACTTCCCAGTGTCAGCCTGAGACAGGGAAAGGCAGGAGATCCTGTTCTCTATCTCCAACACAAAAATACATTTGAGGTATTTGAGGGCCAAAAATTAGCAACAAGGATGCCACCTTCTCTACTCGAATGTAACTTCGCCATAATTACTTCTCTGACCAGAGAGGGCATCATGATCTCCCTTTAGAAGAGCAAAGGAAGCCCCACACGGCGAGACTGACTTGCCTGGGGTCACAGAGTCTCTGGCAGACGGGAGCCTTGACTCTACGCTGAGTGGTGAGAGGCTACTAGATTTGGTGTCAGAAAACCAGTTCTTCCACTTGAGTAGACCACTTCACTGCGCTGAGCCTATCTGCTAATTTAGATTCTAGAATACAATCCATCTTACAAGTTTGTCTGCAGGAGGAAAGTAAATAACAAACGTGAAAAGTGCTCTGTAAACTATCTACATAAACACAAGACCGTTATTACACCACAGCGAAAGAAGCTGTAAAAAGGCAACGTCCTGCATGCCCCCAAACTGGCAAAGAAATTACTACGGTCACTAAGTAAAAGAATGCAGGAAGCTGGAGTGTCCACTTTTCCAAGCCGAGACACACGACGTTTGTAAAAAAAGAAAAATTCTGAACCGTGCTTCTGAGAGATGGCTTTTAAAGTTTCATTTTGTCTGCTTTGTCCTGAAGCCCCTAAGAATAAGCTCCGAAACTTCAATTTCTCTCTGAAATGACCCTGATAGCAAGTGACTGTTTCCTCCTCCCTGGCCCCTGCCAATTTCAGAAAAACAGAAGACAAAAGGAAAAGAGAAAAAAAGGAAAAAAGAAAATCTGCCTGCTGAACTCGAAAGCCCAGACAGACCCCACTCATCCTCATGCTGGTCTGCACAGACGTCACACGGGCTCACTTAGGTACATAGAATAAATAATATATAAAAATTTGTTCCAATTCCAGGGCTTAGAGATTCAAAGGAACAAGACTACACCGCTTTCCTAGCACTGGAGGCTCCTCGTTGGCACTGGGCCCCGCTCTCGAGACCTGTCGCTCCGACTGACGGGAAACACCATACCGGGCGGGGACTCCCCGAGGAGAAAATGGGGTCGCCTGGCAGCCGGCGCTCCCCCCGCGCCTCCGCCCCGGGCGGGGAGAGCAGAGCGAGGCCAGGCAGGCGCGGGCGACCAGAGAGCAGAAGCGCCGCACGCCCGACCCCGAGAAGTTGACTGCGACCCCGCCTCACGGGGCCCCTCCCAACCCGTCTCTTTAACTAAAACGACACAGCCAGAGCGCATCATTTAGTTTCGCCGAACCCATCCTCAAACCACGAAACTGCTACGATGCATTTGTTGAGTTTTGTGAAACTGTCTCCAGGACTCAAATTCAGAGTAGCGGCCCCTACCACGCGACACGCCGAATATCGTCACGCCGCAGGGAAAGAAGTAGATTACGCCTCCCATCTCCTCTTCACCTCGGGTCACTGCGACGAGTACCAAAACTCGCCCGCGGTCCGAGAACCCGCCGCTGACCCAGATTCCGCGAGCGGCGGGCGGCGCTTCCCTGGGGAGTGGGCGCCGCCGCCGCATGGACTCAGCCAGAGACCCCGGCCCGCGCGCGGCGCGATGTCGGTCGCCAGAGGCCTTAAGGCCGGGAAAGCCCACTTCTCCCCGCAAAAAGCGAGTTGGCAGCACTGCAGAAAAGTTGTACTAACTTCTCAGGCGGCGATGGTCGCGGCAGGGGCAAGCGGGACTAAGGGGTCGCGCCCACGCCGTCGGCCCCCAGGAGGAGGGACGCCGGCAGCAAAGCCGCGGAGCGCCCCCTCCGCCCGGCTTGCCGCCCCCACGAGGCCAGGACGCCAGACTCCAAGCAAGGCGAAAAGGGTCTAAGCCCCCAAGCACACACAAAAACGCCCCTAGAAACTTAAGCCCTTCGCCATTTTAAGTAGAGAAATGTAATGATTTAAAACTTAAACATGTTCCCCAACCCTAACCCTAGGTGGGGGTTAATTTATTACCTTTCCCAACCCACCCACCAGGATCACCAGAAACCCGACCCTCCGAACGCAGGGCTGGTGGGGAAGGGGTGGCGGCTGAGTCATCTCACCTCCTCCGGAGCTCTGTTCCTTAACTCCAGGTTAATCCTCTTCTTCATCTCCATGTCCTCTTGCTCTTCTGCTACTACTCTCCTCCCTTTCCCTTTCCTGCCTTTCCCACTACCCCCTAACCAAAAATTTTAAGAGATTTGGAAATGAATGAAAAGAAACGCAAATATAAACGCCCACTACCACCATATAGGTGCGGGGGAGAAAGAAGAGAATAGCAAATGGAGTCCAAGGAGTTGGGACTCTAACTCAGCTGCCCCCACCTCCTTGTCTACACACTAGCGCGCGCACACACACGCACGCACGCGCGCACACACATACACACACATATACACACACCCGAAGTTCCTACCCCTTCAATGGCTGCTCAGAGACTGAGCCTCCATGACACGGCACCGCCAACCCCCTAGCCCACACTCCACCCACCTCCCAAACGTATTGGTTGATTCTTTAGCATCATACTATTCTATTGGGCTATGTGAATGTCTATCAGTCTTCAGGGTGGATCTGGACCAGAAACTCTATGTCTATTGGCTACGACCAAGCGCGCAGTTAACTCCGATAGGTCCACGAGGGTGTACGTCCCGGCGAAATGATTTTGAATCCCAGTAGCCCCCCTTCTTTTCTTTGTGTGGTTGGCGCGCTTTCCCCAGGCGCTCAGATGGTTTTGATGCCTGTTGGGTTTGTTTTTTGTTTGAGGGGGCTTTGTTTTTTAACTCTTTTTAGTGCTAAATAGAGGGAGGAAGCATCTTTCCGTGCCCATGCTGCTTTGCTGGTATTACACCAAATGGCAGGCACCGGCTCTTGGCAGTTTCAAAGCACAGGCTCTGCTTTGCAGCCAAGGTGTATAGCAACGTGCGCATCACGTTAAAAGGATGCCCTTGTGGCACTTCCCTGCTGGGGTTAGACTCCTCGAGCCGAGATAAAGGTGGTACTTTAACTTCCACTATAAAAGACGGAAAGATTTTGAAAGCAGTTGGGTGGAGTATGTAAGTTAGGAAGTTTAAAATAAAATTATCTGGAGGAATTGTTACTGAGGAAATTGTTGCTGTGTAAACACCAAGGCCTTGTTGGAAAAACAATGCTGCCTTAATGAAAATGCGACATTGATTCTGATCCGCATAGAAATGGCCCGGCAATGTGTCTGCTTTCTGATTTCTCTTGGTTGGTTTCCATGGAAATCTGTAGGTAAAATGTGCTTTTAAAAGTCTGTCTGTGGCTTCTCGGCCTTTTGGTCATGATCAAGTGTAGTATCTGTTCTTATCAGTTTAATATTCTATCCAAGAACAGACAACATATTAAATGGATTTGGGGAGCAGGAAAATGAACGAGGAGCTTGCTCTGTCCAGTCCATGCATCGACCTGGTATTGCAGTACTAAAATTTAGTGTTTATGGGCGGCGCCTGTGGCTCAGTGCGTAGGGCACCGGCCCTATATACAGAGGGTGGCGGTCCGAACCTGGCTCCGGCCAAACTGCAACAACAACAAAATTTAGTAGTTAAGGACTGAAGAAAAAAAATCTGTCTACGTGGGATTAACAGAGTGAGATAGGCCGAGCTCTGTGGTTCACGCCTATAATCTAGGAGTTGGAGGCAGAAGGATCTCTTTTATATATATATATATATATATGAGTAACTGTGTACATTAATGCACTTCTAGGGTACAGTGTGGTGTTTTGACACACAATCCGAAACACTGCCATCAAACTGGTTAACATAGCCTTCATGTGGCAGAAGGATCTCTTAAACTCAGGAGTTAGAGACCAGGCTGAACTAGAGAAAGACCCATCTCTAAAAATAGAAAAAGTAGGTGGGCACCTGTAGTCTCAGCTACTCCAGAGGCTGAGGTAAAAGGATAACTTAAGCCCAGGAGTTTGATGTGAGCTATAATGCCAATGCACTCTATCCAGAGCTTGGACATGTCTTTTTTTTTTTTGAGACAGAGTCTCACTTTGTCGCCCTCGATAGAGTGCCATGGCTTATAACAACCTCAAATTCTTGGGCTCAAGCAATTCTCTTGCCTCAGCCTCCCAAAGTAGCTAGAACTACAGGCACCCAGCTATTTTTAGAGACAGTCTTGCTCTTGCTCAGGCTGGTCTCAAACTCCTGAGCTCAGGCAATCTACCTGCCTTGGCCTCCCAGAGTGCTGGGATTACAGGTGTGAGCCACCTCGCCCGGCCTTAAACTGGACATATCTTGAACATTCAAAAACTAATCTCCTTAAGTGAGGACAGGAGAGGAGGGTGGAGGATGAGGAGACCAATGTATGGCACACCTCTTGGGGGCGGTCCTTATGGGAAGAACATTATTTAACAAATGCAATCAGTGTAACCTAATTCTTTTTTTTTTTTTTTTTTTTTTTTTTGGCAACAGAGTCTCAAGCTGTCACCCAGGGTAGAGTACTGTGGCATCACAGCTCACAGCAACCTCCAATTTCTGGGCTTAAGCTATTCTCTTGCCTCAGCCTCCCAAGTAGCTAGAACCACAGGTGCCCACCACAACGTCTGGCTACTTTTTGGTTGTAGTTGTCACTGTTGTTTGGCAGGCCCAAGCTGGATTCGAACCGGCCAGCTCTGGTGTATATGGCTGGTGCCTTAGCCACTTGAGCTACAGGTGCCAAGCCAATGTAACCTAATTCTTTGTACCTTTAATGCACCCCAAATATTAAAAAAGAAAGAAAGAAAACTGAGTTCATCTTCTGCTGTTGAACGTCTTGTTTGTCCCTCTAGATCCCCGTTCTCCATCCTGCTCTGTAACCCAAAACTCATGTGGCCTATGTGAAGTCTTACAGCTCCCTGGATTTGGTTCTAAAAGGAAATCAGAGGTCAAGAGTAAAGTGAGTTTGGAGTATTTATTCTCCCAATTTCCCTGCCAGTTCCTTATAAGATGGCTGAAAGCCACAGATCCTATCACAGCTGTGGTGGGCACTTGGATGTACCACTCAGATTTTCCTTCAGGAATGAAAAATGTACTCCTCAGCTGCTGGGAGAGTATTACTACTAAAAGATGACGCCAAGCTGTAAGCTTTCGTAGGGAATTGCCTCTGCTGAACAAAATTGCCTTGCTCAAGGTTATTATTGATCAAAAAAGAAGTATAAAGACCCAGCCTACCGGCTCGGCGCCTGTGGCTCAATCGGCTAAGGCACCAGCCACGTACACCTAAGGTGGCAGGTTTGAATCCCCAGCCTGGGCC